CTGTGGGCAGCCTGGGGTGAAGAGGTTCCCCACTGTGCTCCCAGGTGAGTGCTGGAGATGGGGATGCTAATTTCTAATACATATATATATATATATAATATTTCTTTAAAAATTTTATTAATATTCTATATATCTATTCCTTCCATCTTTCTTCAACCACTTGGTTTTTCATTCAGGACGTATTCCCCAGCTCTCACACCGACCCCAGCAGCAGCCCAGCCCGGGTGGGAAGGCTTCATGCTTCTTTTGTCCTCTCCTGGGGTGATTTTACAAGCTCTCGGGGCTGCTGGTCGCCCCCCCACCCAAAATATCCATTTTATGGCATTTATTGAAGTGCTGGAGCCTTTTCTCCCCCAGCCTGGCCGAAGGGGATCGCCTCCACCGCCCCTGGTGTGAGCCGTGGTGGTGATGCTGTTGAGCTGGCAGGAGCAGGAGGCAGCAAATGACATCGGGGTGACGTCGTTTACGCTCTCGCTAATTAACAAGAGGAGGGGGGGGCATGATTGACAGCCGAGGTGCCCAAAGCCAGCTCGCTAGGCAGGAGAAATACCCATTTTTGCAGTGTTTCCAGTCTTTTTTCCAGGTCCGTGTGGGGACCAGCAGCTCAAGCCCCATCAGCGGTACCGGAGAGGGAAGGGATTTGGGATCTGGGGATGATTCACCCCTTGTAAAATTAGGATAGAAAATACAAATGCATCATTTTTTTGAAGGTTTTGGGGCATTTCTGTTTCAAAGTTGGGTCTGACCGAGCGCTCCCCTCCAGGGCTGGTGTTGGGGGAGAGGGGGAGAGCATCCCTGGCGAGGAGGAGCAGGGAGGATTCGAAGTGACAGGCTATTAGCATCGAAAAGCAACGATCCTTTTCGGAAAGAGGACATAAAGCAGATGGGATCTGGCACAGGGGAAACATGGAGAGGAGTCGAAAGCTGCCTGGAGGACGCAGGAGCTGGAAAACTCGGGAGCTGGGAAGTTGTGTTGTTCCTCTGATCTCGTGGATCCCTTAAATGTCACAGCTGGAGGGGCCGAGGACATACCCAAGCCTGTGTGATGCATCCCATGTTCGCTTTTGGATGCTGGCTGATTATTTTCCTAATTAACTGGGGGAATGTACAGGGCAGTTGTCCCCTCCATCAAGAAAATCATCCCCCTGAGCATCACCTCATGCCCCAGTACCTGCTCAGGTACCACCACCAGGAACAACCCCTCTGAGCATCATCTCCTGTCCCAGCCCTGCTTGGGTACCACCACCCAGGAACAACCCCCCAGAACCTCACCTCCTCTCCAGGCCCCGCTCAGGTACCACCCCCCAGGAGATGATTTTCCAGGAGCTTTCCAAGAATCAGGCACTCAATGCCAGGGCCACATCCTGCTCAACAGCAGCCTTGAGGAGATGCTTTAATAGGATGAAGCAGCAGTTTAAAGAGCTTTGTTGCCCCCCAGCCAGGGATGATAAATGCCAACGGTGGAGGCCAGACCAGTGCTGCTGATTTACTCCTCCTGGCAATGATGGTGGGGGAAGAGGGCTTAAATGCAGGGAGGGAGCAGCTCTTTGCCAAGCCATGGGGATGAAGCTCATGGGGAGCACCCTCTGGGTCCACCACCATCAAGACGATGGGTGCTGCAGGTGATATTGAATCATAGAATCATCGAATGGTTCTGGTTGGAAGGGACCTTAAAGGTCATCTAGTTCCAACACCCTGCCATGGGCAGAGACACCTCCCACCAGAGCAGGTAAATATCCAATAGAAAGGCCACCCAAAGGGAGGAGACCTCACCTTTCTACCCCCTCTAAATTCTGTTTGGAGCCAGGCAGGCAGAGCAACACCTTGTGAAGAGCCAAAAGCGTCACCACGTCAGTAGAGTCCCTGCTGGGTCAAACCCATAAGTGAAACATAAGTGGCTCTGATGGATTGTCACCTCTGGACCCAGACCAACTCCACACAGCACAGATTTCTGTCTGAAACACAGAATTTTGGGGGCGTTGTGGGTAGACTTCACATGCACAATCTTAGAGAATATCAGGTTCACCAGCTAAAGGATCTGACTTTTCATTGCCAGACCTTTAGGGTGCCAGGCTTGCCTTATACAAATATAAAAGGCCACAGATTTCCATACCAACAACCTGAAGTGAAGACCAATGGTCCATATACCAGTTGCAACTGGACTGGGGCCAATTCAGTTCACCAGGTGGGAAAATGAACCACTTTTGTCTCAGGTTCGTTTTCCACCATGTGGATGCGTTTTCCACCTTCCTGGATGAGCTCAGGAAGGGGCCTGATGGGCAGAGGACATGAGGGGGCAGAAACCATCCTCCCGTGCAATTCAGCTTGAGGCAACATCTGAGATGATCATAATTTCTGCTTGGTGCCCTTCATCCCTGTGGCTGGGATTTGGACATGGAAACTCCATCTTGCATTGGGAAAGGGAGATTTTACCCTCAAGGCCCAAGGGACGTGGCTGCTCCTCTCTGCACAACCTCAAGATTTCATCCTTGGAGATATTAGTACCACATCTGGATGGGTGCTGAGCAGCATGACCTGCTTTGAGGTTGACCTTGCTTTGAGCAGGGCTGGAATCAGGGCGCTCCAGAGGTCCCATCACACCTTCCTGGGACTTTCTGACCCAAGGAGTTTGAAAGGTAGCAGGGACCCAAAAGGGGCCAGGAGAACCTCGGTTAAAAATAACAAGGGGAGAGGGTATTTTACTCCTCTGCCTGGAGTGACCCCCAGGAGTAACAGGACATGACCATCTCCATCCATCCCCATCTCCATCTCCTTCTCCATCTCCACCTCCACCTCCATCTCCACCCCTGAACCAGTCCTAGTGGGGATGTAATGGCTCTGGGAGAACTGCAGTAGCTGAGGAGCACGTCTGGCCCACAGTAAGGTGATGAAGACCATCCATCCTGGTGTTCTCTGAACTAATTTGTGGCACCAACCTGCCCTGACCAGATCAAAAACCCTCCACCAGCACCCCCTTTGCTTGCAGATGGACCTGGAGTCCTCACCTTTCCTCTGGTGTTGGTTTTGGGCGTCCTGCCACATCAGCCCTATACAAAGAACAAAGATGGGTGATGTCTTTTCTTCAAACATCTCCAAATTTGCTATTCATGGCAATTTTTTGCCTCAAAAGCAATTCGTGCCAGCATCCCAGACCATCCTCCTAGTTACCCCATCCTGGGACACACCATCCCCAGATGTCCCCATGGCTCTAGCCTCCTCAGCTCTGTTCTCTCATGGGATGCACGGATGTTAGCTGCCACCACCATCACCATGTACCCACCTTGGCGTGAACAAAGGAAGTGGAGCACAACCAGCCAACAGTCTGGGCTGTGGTCTTCTCCAAGCAGAACCATCAATGGGTTCCTCAAGAAATAAAACCAAGGGGAGATATTGTTGGCAACACAAGAGCTCTGCTGCTGGATGCTCAGCCTCCATGAGCGGTGGGGGCTTGACGGGGCCCCGCCAAGTATTTGTGTCATCTCATTAGAAATTGCAGTTTTATTGAAAGCCCGATTGCGCTCATTTAGCTGTCACTCAAACCCTCCTGCAGCCGCTTATTAGCGCTGGAGCGGGGAGCAATAAGGCTCTGCTGAAGATCACCCATCCTTTCACAAATTACCTCTTACTGATGAATTAAGGCCGTCGAGACGATGGTGCCTGAAAACCGGGGGGAGATATCTGAATTTCAGAAGAAGGGCCTGAAGCCATTACCCCTCTCAGGTCATCACCCTTGGAGCCACATCTGGAGTGTTGCATGGGATGCTTCAATTCAAGGAGCAACACATGGACCAGGAGGCCACAGGGATGGTCAGAGGATGGAGGATGGGATGCCTTA